TTAGCTTATAAGTAACAGGTTGAAAATTGCAATAACTAAGTGTGGAAATAAGCTGTTTAAAGGATTGAAATTGGTTTGTATTTTATTCATAATAATTCAAAATCTGGTTAATAATTACATAGCGATAAAGATCTAAATAGGCATATAATGCTTCTTAACAGTATGGAATATTTCGAAAAATGATATAAAAAAATCAATATTTTAAAAATGGGCAAGTTAGTGCCTTATCTATTTCAGCAAGATTCCTTATCACAGTCGAAGTAGGTCAAAGATTAGAGTTTTGCCGCATCAATTTAAAATAAAATCATATATTTAAAATAAAATCATATACAGAAAGAAATATTAATCTATGATGAAGAAGTATAATAAAAGATTAGCCACAAAAAGAGTGCAGTCAACTCTTTCTATAAAGAAAAGATTCTGGAAGAAAACAAGATTTTTATAAAAAATTACTATATTTTATTAAAAACACATGACATTTTTTATACCGAACTATTATGAAATTCAAAAATTTTAAGTTATTTCCAGAGTCGACTGTACTGTGCAGTACATAATTTATTGAAAACCGTCACAAAAAAACAAGCTAATGGTTAAACAAATAAAACCAAATGATTAAACAGAAAATAGAGTTATATTTTTAAAATGTCAAACTTCAAATTATTTGTATTATTTCTAGATGTTGTATATACATTGTAAATTGCGTTAAATCTTGCTCTATATAATCGTTATTTAATTGAAAAATAACATCTTATAGAAAATCATCAAATACTTAATTTCCGGTCCATAATCCGGATTATCATCCGATCCCAACCTGGTACACATTTTCTAGGTGCCTTAGAATCACAGATCCATTCCATTGAAAAGTATTTTGATGCTACAACATATGCATCTTTTGGATAATTACTATCATTAGATCCCACTTTCTCGATTACTAGATCAAACAGTGGGATCATCAAATCCTTTAAATATCTGCAAGTGGCAGATTCTCCGTAATTAAGGTAATATGCACCGAGGTATGCCTCGAATGCATCGGCATGAAGTTTTTTGATTTGCCGAAACTTCATATCATTAAGTTCATGAAACCGAATTGTCCAAGTATATGCAGCCAGGATTTTATTACATTCCATAATTTGGACACTTTGTCTTATCATGCCTACCGAATATCGTCCAAGATAGTGCTCCTTTGCGATCTTCATGAGACAGTACCCGATCGCACGAATCCACCAGGGCGGCCACGAATTTTACGGGTCACGTGATAAGAACAAAACATCCTAAAATTCGTTAAAGTTAGGGTTAGTGCCGTATTTAGAGTTTGGAGATAAGAAATATGTAGTAAAATTAGTCGAGAAAAACTTTTAATTAGAGCACAAAAGGCGAATTCTTATGTAAATTCTTGAGATAAAGGATGTTTTTTGTCAAAACGAATGTTTGTTTTGGACTTTCCTGATCGTGTTACGTTACACTTAATTACGATTTCCCATTGGATAAATTTGTCGTCGATCATCATGTGACCCGTAAAATTCGTGGCCGCCCTGGTGGATTCCGATCGCACTGTCTCCAAAATACTCTAAGCATTCCCAGCATTCCCATTGAGGATTATAAGATATAAACCCTATGGCCATTTCCAAGAAAATTGAATCCTCAATGGGAGGAATAGGAGGCGGTCAGTTCTTTCCCAGACACTGTAAATATGCGTAATAAACTATTGTTAGCATTATCTTAATTGGTTGAAACATTTTCAACTATAATATATAAGGTTTTGGAATTTTCTTTTTTTTTTAGAAAGATCTCACATAATTATTGCGTTTTGTGCTGCTTTTTATCATAGATCAGAAATCGCCCGCAACTACTAATTACTAATTACTGTCGCAGATTTCATAAAATTATGCAAATCTCTATAACATTAAAGGCTTTTTTTAACCGTAAAACCCACCAATACTTGTTTAGTATAAATCATATCTCTAAATCTGACCTCTAACTCTAAAAAATAGTAAAAATATACTCCAAAGTTTGTATTTTTTGGTGGCGTATCTTGTTTACACTATATCATTCATTTTAATCTGATTTGTAAAAATAAATTATAAGTACTTACCTAACTCTTTTATGACTTTAGACTTTTTGTCAACACCTCTACTTTCAAGATCATTTGGCGACCTTTGTTCTACGCCAGAGGTTTCGGTGGGCTTTGAGGCTTCTGGGTTTTTGGACCGTGTTTCTATCTTTATTTTTTGATTTTTGGCGGATTTTTTTCAAACATTTCAAAGGTTTTTTTGTATGCTTGTTTCAATTTTTTCTTCTTTTATCTAAAGTGTTTGTAATATGGGAATTATCGGGTTCAGGCATGATTTTAATTGTGGGTATGTTACAAGCAACGCGTAAAATAAGCTAAAAATATATTATCTTCTGACATATGATGAACCCCTATTTATCCTATTTATGCTGATGTCGATCATTGTTTATTGGCATGCCTATTTCCATATTAGGGGTCGTCTAAAGCCATGTACCCACGTGACTTTTTTTGGTTTATCGAGTCTGGTAACTGGGGAAACTTAACCTATACCCTGGGGTAGAGGGTCTTAACCTGATTTCCTCTCCAGCACCCACAAAATTTTTCCGGACACGTGATTTTATGTCACTAACGATTAAATTTTTAAAGTTCGTTTATGTT